AAAAACTTGTTCATACTTAACTTTTTATTGAAAAAAATGTTCACTATGCATAGATATATATATAAATATATAGATAGATAGATAGATATAAAAAGATAAGATAAAAGAGAAAAATTGATCATCTAGTCACTGATTACATCATCATAATCATTGCCATTATCACTATACATACATATAATTGCTGAGTAATTCAAGTCACCACACACGCACGCGCACACACACACACACAAAAAAAACAGAACAAAGAGGGACGGGGCGGGAAGGAGAAAAGACAATGGCAATTGTTGGTGTTTGTTTAAAAACATCATTTTATCAAGGTCACATCATAGAGAGAGAATACCAACCAATAAAAATAATAATTATTATTATTATCATTATTAATATCATATCGATAATAGGCTATGTATGGTCGGTCATACAGAATTTTTTTTAGAAAAATATGAACAGGCACACACACACTGGCACACTCGTACAGCGACACATGCACACACACACTGAAGGCAGTTAGTTGAGTTTGGACATGGTGTAAGGTTGTTGTCTATAGCGTATTAAGTAGCATAACTACTGCCACTGTCTGTTCAAAGTTCAATGCAAGCATGCATGCATGCGTAAGCGTAAGTGTAACAGTTATCCCGAATTGTAGGTATTTTCATTTGCCTAATCAGTGAAATTTTTTGTACAAAATCAAAAAGTAAAAATAATTACGGAGGCACGGGAAGAGAGAGGGAATGAATATTTTTCTTCAAAAAGAAAATATATATATGTACAATACAGTTGAATTTGAAAAAAATATAAAAAACTCATTTTTACACATATAACATGATAAATTCAAAGAAGAGGGAAAAAAATAGGAAGAGGAGAGGAGAGTATGGAACTTGGTTTGAGTTTTGATTTTACAGACGAATCAACACCGATTGAATAGTAGTTGAGATGATGCTGTGTAGTAAAGCACACACACACACACAATAAGCCACAGCGAATCATAATCATGAATGCAACATATCGATGTCGCATTGTCACATGTCATCCATCCATCAATCTATTATATTAAGCATGTTTGAACATTGAACAAAATCTAATGGCAGCATATTATTAAAACAAATCTAACCCGCGCGTTTTACAAACGTACATACATACATACACATTATTTTTTTTACAAAATAAAAGAGAAAAACCCGAATGGAACATTGAAAAAAAACAAAGGCATAAAAGAGAGAATTTTTACGGGAAAAAGAAACCAAAAAAGGGTTACCACACACACGCAAACACACTGGCGCACAACAGCAACAACATAAAATACATTTGAATGGTTCTGTATAGAAGAAGACAGGGAAAGATAACCGAACGAAGAGCACAAGAGGGGTGAGAGTAATAATTATATTTTTTTTCCTCAAAATAAACGCCTAAAAATAGTGTAAGCAACACTATCCTCGCTGCTTCCTCTCCCTGCCCCACTTCCACACCTACTACTGACTACACTTGGCTAAAAGGACGGAGGAAACTTGGCGGAGGGAGAAACCAATCACAAATAGGTAAATAAATCAATCAATAAATCGATCAATAATTAATTAATTAATTAAATTAAATAATTAAATACAATAATAATTAAAATAATAATTATTATTTATTTTAATAATTCACACACATAATTTATTATTGAGTTATTTGCATCTTTCTCTCTCGAAATATAAATATATATTAATATAAAAAAATATTTTATTCATTCAGTTATTTTGTATATTGCAAATGATGAAACCCATGGAAATCAAAGGATAGAACATAATTGAGAAGAAAAAATATACACACACTCAACCGAAAGAGAATGTTCAATGATCAATCATCAACTCACTAACCAACCAACTGACCAATCAAACGACAGGATGAATAAATAAACAGAGAGATAGAGAGAAAGACAGGCAGTAGAAGTCAACGGACAAAAAGAACGGATAGACAGAAAAACCGAAAGAGAATGATCAATCATCAACTCACCAACCAACCGACCGACCAATCAAACGACAGGAGAAATAAACAGATAGAGAGAAAGACAGGCAGTAAAAGTCAACGGACAGATTGGAAACAAGAAAACAGACACCAAGTGGACAGAATGTGGCGGGAAAATAAAGGCGAATAAAACAACACAACCGGGGGAAAAAATAAAAAAACAGAACGGAAAGAGAGAGAAAACATAAACGGCGCAATAGTCTTTTTTTTCTCCAAGGCGTGTTTGTAGAAAAAAAATCAGGTAGTAGGCGAGGGGGGGTGGGAGATTACATAAAAATAAATAAAATAAAATAAACAAGATAAGATAGATAGATAGATGTGTACACATCATATCTATTGGCGCTGTATATTACATTGCATAACTTGATATACATATACGTAAATATGTAAATATTAATATATATATATATGAAATCATCAGTTATCATAGAAATAAAATAAAAAAACTGTTGCATAATAAATAGTCACAGTAAAGAATGACACTAGGGCAACGTGATTACCATTATTATTATTCCTAATCATGTCAGTAAAAAATAGATACACGAATTGATTGACTGTTTGATAAATAGTATTCCACAAAAGAGAGTGTGGGTGTGTGTGTGTGAATACACATGCAGATTCGCGCGCACGAGAGCAAGTGATAAAGACGAGGCGGCGGCGCAACAATAACAAGAATAGAAAACCGGTATAAAAATTCCATCGTGTAGTATTAGTAGTAGTGTACCACTACGTCTTGTTGATGATATAACTCAATAAGCATGGGAGTATTGTTGTGTAGACCATCACTTCTGATGAATAACTGACTGATTGATTTGATTGGTTGAGTGAAGGAACCGGGAGATTGAATGTTTTGAATAAAGAACACCGAAAAAGAGCTGAGTAAAAGCAGTAATCATAATAATAATGGCAAGCAATAAGCAGTAGTATTGGTTGTAGTAATGGTAGCAGTAGTATGTGTATATGCTTGATAAAAAAAATTCCTAAATTAAATTAGAACAAGTTGCATTGATTTCAAAAAACAGAAAAGGAAGTCTGTACAAAGATAAAAAAAAACATGAAAAGAATAAAACACACCGAGCAACAGGAAAGAAAACATCATCACCATCACACGTGATTTCTGTACACCTACAGACAGACACAGAGAGAGAGAGAAAGAGATAGACAACGCACATGGGCGGAATACGGATGAAAATATACACATAATTACAGCAGGATTTATTAAATCTCTATTTCTGTACACATAATCGCACACACACACACACACCGTGTCACAAACAAACAAACAAATCGGAAGTGAATTTCGGATTTCAGCATTGGCGCGCACACAATGAAATAATAACAACGCAACATCAACCACATTGTTCATGTTAGTGTGGTCACAATTAGGTTGTCGAAAGGAAGCGAATGTATACAGTGTAGTCATGCGAACACACACGCACGCACGCGCGTGTACACGAGACCAAAGAGACAGAGAGAGCGAGTACATACATGGTCAAAAAAACTGTCGTGTAGGGGGGGGGGTGGGTTGGACAAGATGAAATCATGGTCAAAGCAAAAACAATCAAAATAACAATAATATTAATTAAAATAATAATAATTACTATTATTATTATTATCATAGAGATAAGATAAAAACACGAAATTGAGCGCGCGCGCACACACACACACACAGCGCAAAGACAGCAGTGTAAAATGCAAATCATGATGACCAAATTTATGATTACATCATCGTCAGTCAACGAGAGTAGAAGAGCGTAAGAAAAGAAAAACACGACGGTAAAATCATTCATGGAATATTTTTTTTTAAAAAAAAAAAAGATCAATTTCACAGAATATCCTCCTCCATCAATCTCTCCCACTCACTCATTGAACGAACCTAAGAACAAGTGGGAAGCGGGGCGATGACCGCTTGCAACACACACACAGACACCCATCTAGTTGTGTAATGAAAAAGCATGATTATGGTTATTATGATGAGAAGGAGGATGGGGATGAGGATGCTGACGATCATGATTCATGGATGACATCATCATTGACGATGACGACAAAGACGACGCAGATGAACAAGAAGGAACAAATTGAGACAATGTTGAATGATCATTGAGTATGGCGCATGGATTAATACAATGATTATTGTTTTGATGATGTGTATGGCTGGATTTTGTGTATAACAAGTCAGCAGCATGTGTAGTAGTAAATGATGTTGTTGTTATTGTTGTTGGTAGAAGTTGTAAACAACCAGTAGTCGACAACGACGACGCAGTATAATCCAATTCATCAATAGATAATGGAGTGAAATTGAAATGATGATGATGATGATTCATTGATATGGTGGGATATCGGTTGTTACCAGTATTACTCATAATACCAGTACTATTACTACTACTAGTATTGTTATGAGTAGTATTATTAGTAGTAGCGGTGGTAGTAGTAGTAGTAGTACAGTTGGACGATAATCCATTGGACGCAGGACAATAATTGAATGCTGGTGTCATGTTGGTAGTTTGTTCACATGTGACAATAACTCCGCCTTCGCCTACGTCTCCGCCGCCTCCGCCACCGCTTGCTGTTGCCGCTACAACAACTTCATTGATATTGTCACAATTGTTTGGTGTTTGAAGAAAATTAAATGTGCACGTATTAGGTCCACCACCAGCAGCAGTAGCAGCAGTTGTACCAAGAGGAGTAAGTGGAGGAAATGGTGAACCGCATACAGAACCATTCACTAGGCTACGATAGAAACGTTGTGCAACTTGACTTGATGGACCTTGAAATTCAGAAGAAAAAAAAAGAATGAATAAAAACAATTTTAAATAAATCAGTCGGGGGGAAATAAGAACACAATTGAACGCTGTACTGAACTCGCATTCTTCCGCGCATTGTTAGACTGTGTTGCGCGCTACTTATAAGTAGTATATGACGCGAGTAAAAAAACGTAATGTCTGGCAGCAGAAGATGGGGAAAGATCAAGAAAGGAAGAGTGGGGGGAACACAATGGAATTTGTATGAAACGCATGAATAAGTGAAATGTCAGACAATGTGGATTGATGATGGATTGAAGATTTGCAAATTAACAACGATTTACGATATGGTTTTCCTATTTTACTGAGTAACTCTGTAATTTTCGTTAAATACAATTCGGCTGCCCTCGCCTGTGTTCTCCTTCGCTACAAGAACACTACCACATTAGAATGAAACATGGAAGCACTAAAACATGGCGGTTTCATCCCACTATGAAGGGACTCATCGGTGGTAGTGCGCATCATGCACGACGCACGAATCGAACCCAGGACCTTCATCAGTCTGGAGTGCGAACGATTAACCTAAGAACCACTAAGTCGGTATCCAATGGTGTGAATGTCTAACTCTGATCAAACTTTCATATATTATAATTGTTGGGAGAACAGAAAAATACATAATGAGTTAAACTGACCGAGAGAAATCATCAATAACACAAAACGTCATAATCAATCAAGTCATTAATTAGTCAGTTTATTGAGTTGTTTCTTTCACAGACATGAGGACGATAAAGAGTAGGAAATCAATGTGAAGAAGGTGAGTGAGTCGATTCAATGTGACAAGACATGATTATTGTATTGATAGTCAGATATGTAATAAGTCAGTCAGTCAGATACACCGTAGAACTTAGTACGTACGTACATTAGTTCAGGTTGCCATACCACATTAGCACACAGATAAGCAGTTGTCAATTGAAATCCAATAGTAGTAGAGGTAGTAGAAGAATTACTATAAATGGAGAAGATTAGGATTTGAAGATAATATTCAAAAAGTATAATTCAGTGCGATAAGTTTAGAAAGACAAAGGTAGAGGTGCTGACGAATCCAGAAGATTAGGATTTGAGAGAGCACAACGAATGGATGCACTTGCGCCACTGCAAACGATTTTGAGCCATGTCATTCAAGGTCTCTAACCATTGGTGACTTTCGTCTCGTGGACACTCCAACCAGGTAGCCTACATCTAACAACATGACTCAGTCCACTTGTCAGTAACTTCATGGATTTCTGACATGTTTTGTTTTGGCCGCCCCTAACTTTCTTCCAATCTACTCCTACACCACAAAACACAGCTCGTCGAGGCAGTCGGTGGTTAGGCATACGTAACACATGTCCCAACCACCTCAACTGATGAAGTTTCACAACTTCATCTATTGATCTGCCATCCTTACCTAGTACTCGTTTCCTAACGACAGCATTGCTTACTCGGTTGTCCCACGATATACGAGCAATGCTTCTTAAACATCTATGATCGAACACTAGTAACGTAAGAATATCCTCTACTCTCAGCAGCCCTGTTTCGCATCCATATAGGAGAACGGAGCGAACTGCTGGGCAGTACACTCGTTCTTTGTTTAACAAGCGGATATCTCGCTTGCGCCATAAATGACGCAGGTTGACAAAACACAATCGAGCTTTCTGTATCCGTGCTGAGATTTCGTCAGTCATCAGGCCATCAGCACTGCACTGATGAGACTCTCAAGATAAATGAAGCGGTCTACACGTTCGACTACTTCACTCCGTATCACTAGTTCAGGTGCCGATGCAACCCAATCTTGAAGCAACATTTTGCATTTCGAGGATGAGAACCGCATCCCGAACATGCTTGCATTGTTGCGTATGGTAGTCAGAAGACTCTGCATTTTGGCTAATACCATCTCTTGTTTTAATCTTACTAAAACTATTCTACAACTTCTCAAGGTCATCTGTTTGTATGTAATTTATACATACATATACGCATACGCAAAGTTAGTGTACGTTTAGTCTTTGCTATCGAAAAAATAAACAAGAAGTAAAAGCTACAGTTCTGTATTTTAATCACGAACTAACTAACTAACAAACACATCAACTATGATGCGATGATACATGGTCATTTTCTACGGTTTGAAGAAAAGCAACAACACAAGAGATTAAGAGTAAGTCTTAGAAAGGGGAAAAAATTAAACAAAAAAGTAGCTCACTTGACTAAAACACACTTTTGGCAATGCTTTGAGGACTGTTCTATATTGTAATTTAGTTTAAGTCATAAATCTCTAATTCACACCTCTTCCTACTCAGTATAGTGATTGCTATTGTTCAAAGGCATTTTAAGGAACGACTATGGTCTATTTTTAACTTTGTCAATAATCATAGTAATAACATACACCGGCATCTCTTGGTGCACTTTGAATTCCGTGCGCTGAAGAGGTGTACAAGATATACACACATTGAGGAAATCATTAAAACTACTGCATTACAAAGCAAGCCCTCACACTTGGAACCCTCAAGGCCGAGAGAGAAGAGACATAGACCAAGCAACACATTGAACCAAGAATTTGTTATACTCGTCAGTTGAAAAGCTTGAATGCTATTACGAGTTCATCTTGGTCGGTAAACGAGACTGAAGACAAATGCACCAATGACACGACAGACTACTCTAATCCGAGTGTCTCCAGGCCCCGCTAAATAGAGGAAGAAGTCTTGACAAGACGTAAAAAGTTTATTCCACAAGAGCCCAGAAAATCGAGGTTTTCACAAGCACACAAATCGAGTTTATTTATACATGAGAGAAACATCCTTCAGACAGACACAAAAATAATGCATCAACCAATAACAGTCAAGGATTTTCCGGGTGGGTTATGTAATCTCAAGGTCGACTGATCAGCCTATACTCAAAAACATAAAATCCAAAATTTAGGGCCTTTATCAAGTGAGTTTTGCGGGATCTAAAGTCCCCAACGGAATTGAAGGCAGACAGCAGAATAATAAACAGTGCTACTGAATAAAACTAGAAAGGAAGGCGACTCAGGAGAGAGTAGGGTTATAAGGGAACGCTAGTCGGCACAGCCTATGCTCCATTCAAAGGATTAAACAGCTGTAGGCCACTTAATTTTGATTAGTCCACTCAAGGTCGAGTCAGTGGATGATAGTACTTTCCACCGATAATTATTTACTTGAGTTTGTAATTAATCAGAAAAATTACAGTGTAGTAGTGTAGTGAACGAGAGCACACGCGAGGGCAACCGGATTGTATTTAACCGCAAATTACAGAGTTACTCATTAAAATCGGACAACCATATCATAAATCGTTCATTTGCAAAATATCAATCAGTTCATCATCCTATCGAACTGGACTGTTCCTGTTGCAAAACATCATCAATCCATTGTCACTATTCTCATGCGTTTCATACACAAATTCCATTGTGTTCCCCCCACTCTTCCTTTCTTATTGATCTTCCCCCATCCTCTTCTGCTGCCACTAGACATTACTTTGACACTCACGTCATATACTACTACTTATAAGTAGCTTGAAACCACAGTAGTAGTCGGTCGATCGATCGATTTTACAAAAAAAACAAGACAACCGAATAGTTTATATACACACACAAAGATATCTAGGTTTTTTTTCTTTGCATGAGAATAATCAAGAAATTTTTAGAAAATAAAAAACTAACTCATGTGTTTTTCTGTTTGAAAAGATTTAACTCACATCGTATGACTGATGCTGCAGACATGATGCGTATGCGTGTGCATGCATGGAACGGAGTACACATTTTTAGGCAATAGAAAACAACACAAGGGCAGTTACAAAAACTACAATTGTGTGTGTGTGTGTGTGTGTGCGCGAGTGTGAAGAGATAACAGTCAAAAATGGATGATGAGTTGAGTTGCAAGAAAGAAAACACAACCTAATCGTTTCTGCATTTTAGTGACAATCATAATAATAATCATAATAATCATAGTAATCACAGTGAATAACTAACTAACTAACTCAATTGATCGATTGGTAGTAGTATTGTTGGGGTGCTGCCGATGCAACAATGATGGTGCACAAAGGAGTGCGGGGAGGGGGGCGTTGGAACAATGTAATTTAAGTGTACTTGGAGACGATCGAACGTACACACACACAGAGGCACACGAATACACACAACACAGGGAATAGTAGAAGAGAGAAAGAGTAAAACCGACATTGATTACTGCAACACTACTACTACTACTACCATCGGAGACGATTGATCGATTTTTTCTTTCTCAATGTAATGTACAAGAAAAAACTAGTACGTGTTGAAAATGAAACAATTAGAGTATAACACATATAAGCGAACAATATTGTTTTCGATTAGATCGTCATCAGGCTTTACTCTAATATACATGAATATTTATATGAAAATGTTAAACCAATCAAGGCAATTTGAGTGATAATCACAATGAAATGAAAAAGGCAAAAGTACAAGTGGATAGTAGAAGATAGGTGAACCGATAGTAGTAGGAAAATTTATAAAATATGATAACTGAAGTAGGTCAAAGGTGGATGAATAGAATTCAAATAATCATCAAAAAACATCAAAAACATTACGGAATAAGCAGATGTGTAAAAATAATAAAAATAATAAAATTAAATTAAATAATAAATATATATTATATATTATATATATATTATTACACATCTGCTTATTCCGCAATGTTTTTGATGTTTTTGATGATTATTTGATTTCTATTCATCCACCCTTGACCTACTTTAGTTATCATATTTTATAAATTGTCCTACTACTATCGGTTCACCTATCTTCCTACTATCCACTTGTACTTTTGCCTTTTTCATTTCATTGTGATTATCACTCAAATTGCCTTGATTGGTTTAACATTTTCATATAAATATTCATGTATATTAGAGTAAAGCCTGATGACGATCTAATCGAAAACAATATTGTTCGCTTATATGTGTTGTTCTAATTTTCACAATGGGAATCTTTAAAATTAGAGTATAGACAAGTATACACACACATGCGCACGCACACACACACACAGACACATACATATGGAGGCATTATCAGTGTGTGTGTGTGTGTGTGTGTGTGTGTGTGTGTGAGCGAGTGTATGAGATGAGATGCGTTGCAATGAACAAACACACTAAATAACTAACAATGGAGCAGTAGTAAGTAAGAAATCGTACGAGTCATGTGTGGAATGCAATTTTCTGAGTCATGTATTATGATGATGATGAGTTTAAAAGAGAGTGCTAAGTTAAAATACAGTGTTTTAGAAAAAAACAAAAATAATTTAGTGATCGACTTCAATTGACAATTTGGAATGAGATCGTTTTCTTTTTTTGTTGCTTCGTTTATTAACAAATAAAAATAATAAATTATTATTAATCAGGATAAATTGATGAGTATTCTAGTAAGAAAAAAGGTAAAATACACTTTGGTGTTTGTTGTTAATATTCAACGTCAGTCAGTCGGTCAGATGCAAAGTAGAAAGAACTTCGTACGTACGTAAGTACATCAGTTCACGTTGCCATACCACATCAGCACAGAGATATAATTATCAATTCAAATCCAATAGTAGAACACGTAGTAAAGGTATTAGAAGTAATCGAAGAGGTTAGGATTAGAAGATATTATTGAAGAAGTATAATTCAGTGAGAAAAATTTATAAAGTCAAAACTAGAGTTGTTGAAGAATCCAGATGATTAGTATTTGAGAGAACACAAAGAGTGGATGCACCGGCGCCACTGCAAACGATTTTGAGCCATATCATTCAAGGTCTCTAACCATCGATTATTATTTCATCTCGCGGATAATATTCAACGCCGAAACTCAAACTCTATAGTCTGTTGATTCTTCAATTGTGCAAAACATTATGGGACCACAGAGTACACAATGCTGGTGTTGTTAGGAAACGGGTACTAGGTAAGAATGGTAGATCAATAGATGAAGTACTAAAACCTCGTCAGTTGAGATGGTTGGGATATGTGTTACGTATGCCTAACCACTGACTACTTCGACAAGGTGTAGGGGTAGGTTGGATGGAACATGGCTCAAATCCACGAAGTCACTGATAACCGGAATGAGTCATGTTGGTAGATGTCGACTACCTGGTTGGGGTCTGTGAGACAATAGTCACCGATGATTAGAAACCTTGAACAACATGGCTCAAAATCGTTTGCAATGGCCAATATTTATCGATTCCTTGTTTTCTCTAAAACTGTTTAATTTAAAGACGGGCTACTCAAGGATTTTGTATACTATGTTCATAGTTTAAAAATCCAATTGTGTAGCTTCGCATAAAACTCCACCAGGAGCCCCTGTAGGACTATTACTGCCGATCCCTAGCCCGGAAAAATAAGGAGGGTTGGGAATGATGTTCGCGGACCCAGATCATAATAATGGGGTTTTTTCTTAAAACATAACTGTTGGGGATGTTAGATCCCGCAGAAATCACTTGATAAAGGTCCTAATTTTGGAGTTAGGATGTTTTCGAGCATGAGTTGATCAGTTCACGTTGAGACTACATAACCTACCTGGGAAATCCCTTGGCCGTTATTGGTTGTTGTATTATTTTAGTACGCTACTTTTGCGGTTCTCCCAAGAACGTTTCTATCATGCATAAATAAACTCGATTTGTGTGTTTGTCAACCTCATATTTTCTGGGCTCTTGTACAGTATATTTTCCACGCCAATATCAAGGCTTCCGCCTTTACTTACTGGGGCCTTGAGACACTCGGATTAGAGTAGCCTATCGTGTCACTGGATCATTTATCTTTGCTCTCGTTTGCCGACTAACGTGTGAACTTGTAATAGTTTCAAGCATTTATCTATCAACTGACGAGCATAACAAAAGCAGTCACAGAGTACCATACAGAATGAGTCATCCACTTGTAATACAAGCACGTTATTAGCTATATGTCGTTATCAAATACATCTCTGATAGTTTTTATATGACATTGATATAAGGCATGCATTCCGATGTCCACAGACTACTCTCTCTCTCTCTCTCTCTCGATCGGACAGTGATCTGTAAGCAAAACTCGATTGCATACTACTTATGAGTAGCATCCAATTCAGTGGTACAAAAAACATTACCCATAGACAAAATATAATTGAACAAGTTGTAACAATGAATTTGCAGAATAGAAAATATTTAACATAACTTCCTAACGAAAGACATAAACCAGTCAATCAGTCAGCTACAATGTGGAACTTCGTACATACCTATATCAACTCAAGTTGCCGTACCATATTAGCACAGGAATAGGTTGGAAGAAAGTTAGGGGCGGCCAAACCAAAACATGGCATAAATCCATGAAGTCATTGACGAGTGGACTTAGCCATGTCGGTAATTGTCGAATACCTGGTTGGGGTCCGAGAGATGATAATAATCGATGGTTAGAGACCTTGAATGACATGTCATTCAAGGTCTCTAACCATTGGTGCCTTACGTCTCACGGACCCCAACAAGGTAGTCTACATCTACCAACATCACTCAGTCCACTTGTCAGTGACTTCATGCATTTCTGCCATGTTTTGGTTTGGCCGCCCCTAACTTTCTTCCAATCTACACCCACACCACAAAACATAGCTCGTCGAGGCAGTCGGTGGTTAGGCATACGTAACACATATCCCAACCACCTCAACTGATGAAGTTTCACCACTTCATCTATTGGTCTGCCATCCTTACCTAGTACTCGTTTCGTAACGACAGCATTGCTTACTCGGTTGTCCCAAGATATACGAGCAATGCTTCCTAAACATCTATGATCGAATACTAGTAACCTACGAATATCTTCTACTCTCAACTGGCCATGTTTCACAGCCATATAGGAGAACGGAGCGAACTGCTGCGCAGTACACCCGTCCTTTAGTTAGCGAACGGATATCACGCCTACGCCACTTCACTCAATCTCTTCGAATCCATACAAATCTCCTTAATATTGCAAATAGTCTATGATTATATAACATTCAAAATTCATCATTACATTCAAAGAACAGAAAAAGGCAAACACAAGGCAAAACAAAAAAAGCTATTCGCCTTACGACTAGCACGACTGCCTGTACGTGAATGTTGTTGCATTCCATATTGTTGAGCCATATTAGCAAGCATATCGATCAATTCTTGACTAATCTAAAAAAAGGTAAAATAAATAAATGGTACACTTGATTTCAAGTTAAATAAAAATTAATCAAGTGAACAGAAATTGTTGGAGATTTATTTCTATGACGTAATTATTTCTCTGTGTGTGTGTGTGTATGTGTCAATATGTGTTATTTCGATACTTGAGGCTGAACAATCACAAACACAATTCAATGGTTGTCTAACATTGATCGATTCATGGTTTCAAAAAAAATGTGTAACTTAACAATCTTCACAACAACCCTGTCATGCAAATTACCTGTGCTCACTAGTGTGACTAGCTTCGTGAGGAATCTTCTCCGAGTTCTAGTGGGAAGACGTGACCAGTGAAGTTCAAACCTGTTCGGGTGTAGTAGACAGTAACTACTACCGAAGACTGTGGTGTATGAGGTTGCGCAACTGCGTGAATTGATGAAGTTGGACATTCACTCCGTTAGATACCGGCTCAGTGGTCTAACGGTTAAGGCGTTCGCGCACAATACCGAAGGTCCTGGGTTCGAATCCTGTAGGGTGCAGGAGTCGTGGATGCGCACTGCTGATGAGTTGTCCCATACCAGGACGAAACGGCCGTCCAGTGTTTCCGGGTTTCTAATGTGATGGTCTAACATTGATCGATTCATGGTTTCAAAAATGTGTAATTCAATAAGGGTCACAAGAAGATTCATGAAGGAGATAACTGTTTAAAAGCTGAAAATCTTCAGCAGTTCCTTCTCATTCATGAATATGAAACTGAGAAGAGAACACAAGAGCTTCAGTCAAGCAAGCGAATGCCTAATTATAACAACAACACGCATACCTTGAACTACCTTACCTATTTTTCACGTCATAACAATTCTAGTGAGAACTGATTTGATGCCATGAAGTTGTGAAGCTAGACAACATGGGATCGAATCTGTCAGGGAGCAACAATTTTCTGAAGATTTGTTACACATGCACGTAAACACGCCAACTTTTGATATGCTTGAACTATTACGAGTTTACCTTAGTCAGTAAACGAGAGCGAGGATCGAGGATCCGGCAACACGAAATGGTACTCAAATCTGACTGTCCCAACCCCCAGAATGAGTAAAAAAGAAGAAGACTTGGTATGAAGTAGAACCTGCATTCTATAAGCATTCAGAAAGTACGAGGTCCGAGTTCAGAAGAGAATCAGGATCCCGGACTAGGGATAATGCGTATTCTGGATTTAAGTCGAATAGGAAACAGCATCGTAGTCTGTGACATTGACAGTTAAGACGACCAATAGGAAAAAACATTTAAAGTGACATTGATAGTCAGGACAACCAATAGGAAACAACATTGGAGCACGTTACATTGATATCTAGGACGACCATAAAATTGACCAGTAGGAATTAACCAATAGGAATCGACCAATAATTCTCTTAGGATATTGGATGAATATCCTGACAAGATTACAGCTACATCCTGCTGATGAGTGCCTAATAGCATGAAACCTAATTCAAGATGGCTTTCCTGTCGACTACCTCCAACCACCACCGTAAATTTCTATATGCTGAATACGACGTTAAGCCACCTAGATTAGTGGCCATAATGTATTCTGATAGACAGAATTCGACCAGTAGCACTAAGAAGGACCTGATACACACTATCCCAATGATCAAATCAACTGTGAATTGATAAATCGCATATCATTGGCACATGGAATTTATGGGAACTGTTTAAATTCAGGACGAGCGCTGCATGTCCGTAGTGGTTTTAATAAAGGGGCCATTCACCCCAGACGTTTTGATCCGACGGTACAATCCACAAGGTAATGAGTGAGTGAAGCAACATAGAGAAATGCAGTGACATGTTAGTTAGCGACCAAGAATAGAGTCATACGGAATATGTTCGCTGTGGATGTTGAAATTCATGTGCACAATTAGTTTGAAATCAGAGTTTTCCAACTCCACTCTATGCATACCAACCCGGTTTAAACCGCCGCCGGACATTCGTCATATGAATTTCGTGAACAACACTGTCGTCGCTGAGGAAAATCAGCGACTACGACTTGAATGATAGTGACTATGGTAGTGTGTGTACTCTTATATCGAGCCCATAGGGCTTGTCTCACCTTTGAATTATTCACATGTCTTTCGACTTTGTCTATTTGTCGTTTATAACTTCGTTATTTTTATTTAGATGCGTGTGTATGTCACTTACTTCGATTATCACATGTCTAGCTTATTTTCTTATCTGACTACAAATATTTAGTCATGCTTGAAGTTGGCTCGCCAGCCTTTTTCACTTTGTTTCGCTATGCTTGTACACTTTCCAATCTCATGAAATAAATTCATCCAATACGAAATCGCTAACTGGCTTTTCATTACCACCGTCGCACAAAGAGTCCACCTAAGACTAATGTTTAATTGTTCCTAAATATCGGAGTCAGATCGTTGACTATTGAAATACACACACGTGTAGCGGCCATACAGAAGGAGCATTTGGGAATAATGTAATCCCCAAGGGAAAATCACGCTTTGAAATGCAGTACTCTCTCTCTCACACACACCTCATACACTCACTGTCTTCGGTAGTTACTGTCTACACCCGAACAGGTTGAACTCTACTGGTCACAACTTCCCACTAGAACTCGGAGAAGATTCCTCACGGAGCTAGTCACTAATGAGTACAGGTAATTTACATCACCAAGTTGTGAAGACTGTTAAGTTACACATTTAAGATCATGAATCGATCAAAGTTAGACCACTATTAGAAACCTGGAAGCATTGGACGGCCGTTTCGTCCTGGTATGGGACAACTCATCAGTGACAGTAAGCATCCACGACTCCTGCACCACGCAGAATTCGAACCCACGACCCTCGGTCTTGTACGCGAGAACGCCTAAAACCGTTGGATGCAGGCCCAGTGGTCCAGAGTCAGTCAGATGCAACGTAGAACTTTGTGGAGAGAAGAGAGTTAATAGGGTGTGTAGGAAGGATTTGATTCTGACCAATTTGGTCTCTCGTGCTGTTACGGGTATGAGGGGGATTGTCACTTCCCGGCTGCCCACACCGTGGAAGGTTGTTTATTGAAAGACCTGAAAAGGAAGATAGATTAGTGTTGGTCTTGGAGACCTGGTTGCGTGACCGCAAAGTCCAAGGGACAACTGCTTGAGGCCGGTCACGCACGGCCTTTTTATGAAAGGAGTTTTGAGGATTAGCTCCGCTCATCGTTCTCCAATCGACCTGCCTTTCATGGTAGGACCTGCAGGAACATGTGTTCCAGCCAGTATAGCTCGGTTGGGTTATCACGATAGGCGCTTCACAACCAAAACAACATCTAGCTGAGTGAATGAAACACCACTACCACTACCGTAATCATCCATCTAAGCTACAACTTTTCGCCACCATTTCAAAAAAATGCTGATAATAATAGTAATCATAATAATCACATCACAATCAAAATACAACTTACTCCTGATGCTGGTGAATTTCTCAATAGACTAGCCAATTCTAACATGGACGATTCGGATGGTGAGGAATCTTTCCTATTGAAATTAGATTCATCCATGTCATCGTTATTATCATTATTATTATGCATTGTACAATCAATACTACTACTCGGTGATAATTTCGTAATCATATCTAATCTCGGTGGATGTGAATAATCACCAAATGTATCGAGTGCATTTTGCAGTGATGACATTGTAGTGGTGGTTGTCGGAGTTGCTGTTGTAATAGTAGTTGACTTTTGTGACGAACAGGATGATGATGATGATAATAATAATAATTTGGGCGGTGGTGGAGTCAACGGTTGTTCATCATCATCGGCGTCATCAGCTCCGTCACCGCCACCCGTATCACCGGCACCAGCAGCAGGACCAACACCACCTGGGATTGATTTCTTAAACATCAGTTTATTCGAACAACCACCATTGAATGAGTTATGATGATGATGCTGTTTCAAATGATTTTGTTGAAAATTAACATGACCTTGATGAGAAGGATGAGGATGACCTTGATGAGGATGTTGAGATTGTTGTTGATTTGAAAATAAATCCATTGTATCGTCATTGCTGAATGTTGTATTCAAATCAAAATGTGAAAGACTACAAGCTGAGACACTACGACGTGAATTATTATTATTATTAATATTCATCGGAGTTGATGATGAACTAAAATTTATTTTGAAAAGGAAAATGAACGTTAATTAAAACAAAACAACATGATAAGTGATAATAATTGAAAGTTCTGTTTCAAAGTTGTTAGCAATAAGAACAGACTTCAAAAAGAGGAAATTAAAGGTCATGTGTAATTCGGAAGATTAGAATTTGAGCGAAAAGATTTTAAGCCATGTAATTCAAGGTCCCAAGCATTGCTCGTATATCCTGGGACACCCGAGTGAGCAATGCTGTCGATAGGAATCAAGTACTAGGTAAGGATGGCAAATCAATAGATGAAGTGGTGAACCCTCATCAGATGAGGTGGTTGGGACATGTGTTACGTATGCCCAACCACCGACTGCCTCGACGAGCTATGTTTTGTAGTGTACGAGTAGGTTGGAAGAAAGCTAGGAGCGGGCAGACCAAAACATGGCACAAATGCATGAAGTCACTGACAAGTGGACTGAGTCATGTTGGTAGATGTAGACTACCTGGTTCGAGTTCGCGAGGCAAAAGTCAACGATGGTTAGAGACCTTGAACGACATGGCTCAAAATCGTTTGCAATGGCGCCAGTGCATCCATTCTTTGAGCTCTCTCAAATCCTAATCTTCTGCATTCCTCATAATCTCTATATTTCTTTTTCTAAATTTATCTCACTGAATTATACTTCTTGAATCATATCTTCAAACCCTAGTCTTCTTCATTACCATTAATACCTCTACTATCTTTATTACAATGGGATTTGATTTGATATTTGCGTCTCTGTGCTAATGTGGTATGGTAACATGAACACTGATGTATATACGTACGAAGTTCTACGTTGCAACTGACTAACTGACTGACCAATGTGTTGATCGGACCTAATTTTCTTTCAACTAACTCCCACATCAAGACAATATCACTCACCGAGTCAGTCGATGATTGGACATATGAGAGCATTTACAAAGAGAGAGAAGGAGGAAGGGCGAGAGAGAGCAGACTCATTTCAATTTCGGTCGTACTAGGGTATAGGAATGCCAACATTTAAATAACCCAAACATTTTTATATACCTTATATAGATAATTATGTGTACATTTCATTAATTAAGTAGTTCCCCTCTAAAAATTCCATTTTATCTCCTAAATGTATACCCTTTTAAAAAATAATAATAATAATAATTTTCTATGTGAGTGAGTAACTAATGTGTACGGTACCAGAGTTGAATCATTCGATGAGCGCGCGCACACACACACACACAAAGTGGAACAATAAAACAACAAACCACTCTATACTTATTATTAAGCACATCATTTAACAAACATCTAAATAATAATAATAATAATAATAATAATAATAATAATAATAATAAAAGGTAAATAATTAAAAGCAATTGATAATTTATTTTAATTAGAAAAAATAAAAATCAAAAAAGAAACCCTAAATGACAAATAACGAATAAAAATTAGAGAAAAAAAGAGAGATGGAGAGAATATTGAACAATGAACATTGACCAAATTAAAACGCGCACACACACGCACACACTGAAATTTGATCACATTGAACATAGAACAGCATAAAGATCAAACGAATGAGATTTTTTTTAAGAAAAATAAATATGCAAATTATCCAACGGTGATGACGAACATGATGATGATGATGATGATGATGTTAGTGGAGTAAAAACCGTCACAGTAATAAATACGATATTATTGATATTATAAGTGATTACATTTAGAGAAAACTTAAGTAGATTTGAATTTTTTCCCTCTAATGTTTAATTTAATTAGTTATTTAATAATAAACCTATTATAATTATTATCATTATGAATGTTTTTGTAATATGATTAGTCAGTTAACTACACTGTAGAACTTTATACATGTACACGTACATTAATACGAGTTACCATCAGTCAGTCAGTCAGATGCAACGTAGAACTTCGAATGTAAGTACATCAGTTCATGTTGCCATACCACATATTAGCACACAGAGATGTAATTGTCAATTCAAATCCAATAGTAGTAGATGTAGTAAGGGGATTAGAAGTAATCGGAGAGGTTAGGATTAGAAGATACTATTCAAGAAGTATGATTCAGTGACATAAGTTTAGAAAGTCGAAACTAGAGGGGTTGAAGAATCCAGAAGATTAGGATTTGAGAGAACACAAAGAATAAATGCACCGGCGCCATTGCAAACGATTTTGAGCCATGTCATTCAAGGTCTCTAACCATCGATTATTATCATCTCACGGGCCGCAACCAGGTAGTCGACAATTACCGACATGGCTAAGTCCACTAGTCAGTGACTTCATGGATTTCTACCATGTTTTGGTTTGGCCGCCCCTAACTTTCTTCCAACCTACTCCTACACCACAAAACAAAGCTCGTCGAGGCAGTCGGTGGTTAGGCATATGCAGCACATGTCCCAACCACCTCAACTGATGAAGTTTCATTACTACATCTATTACGAGTTGCCATACCACATTAGTACACTGAGATGTAAATGTACCTTCAAACTCCATAATAGTTGAGGTAGTAGAAATATTAGCAGTAATCGGAAAGATTAAGGTTCGATGAAATTTATTCAAGAAGTAGAATCAAGTGAAAGAAACTTGAAAAGAAAAAGATAAAGGTGATGAGGAACTCTGAAGGTTAGGATTTGAGAGAACACAGTGAATGAATACACATGCGCAAGTGAAAACGCTTTTGAGCCATATCATTCAGCGTCTCTAACTATCGATTACTATCATCTCGCGGGCCCCAACCGGGGAGTTGACACCTACCAACATGGCTCAGTCCATCCATAACATAACATTACATTACAGAGAGCGAAGTCAGCTAAAGTGCAGGCTGATAAAAAGCCTACTCAATGATCGCGAACAGTGGTGAATAAGGAAAGAGAGAGAGATGGAAATAAATTTAAAAAGAGATAAAAAGAAAGTTCCCAAGCTCATGAGATCATCAGAAAGGGCAAATAATCGATCCATCTGGACTATTTGTGAACGATTTCCAGCCATGTCGTTTAAACGTCTCTAACCATCGGTTACTGTCATCTCGCCAACTCTAACCAAATAGCCTACATCTACCAACATCACTCAGTCCACTTGTCAGTGATTTCATAGACTGGTGCCATGTTTTAGTTTGGCCGCTCCTAACTTTCTTCCAGCCTAATTAATCTTACATCACAAAACATAGCTCGTCGAGGCATTCGGTGGCTGGACATACATAACACATGTCTTAATCATCTCAACTGATGAACACTCACTACTTCATCTAATGACCTGCCATTGTGTACCATGATAATTTTAAGCCGATAATGTTGAACAGTGTTTAATATAAACAAACTTATGATTTGATAATTGCAGTTACTCAATCTACACTTTATCATTATAAACGCTTAAGGTAATGATCCAAATTTCTCTTATATACTTGACTGGATTACAGATAAACTGAAATATTCTCCGGATGATGAATGATGATTTTTTTCTGCTGCTGCTGTTAGCTGTTGTTGTCGTTCAGACTGTGGAATAATTTAGCATAATATGTCTATAAAATAAAATCAATTAGCCTGTTGCAGCAGTAGATCTCAACATACATAAAGGAAAAAGCAACACAACATACACCAACCAACCAAATCACTCTTGAGGACGTTTAATAACCTTTACATATCTTGGCGATGCAGATGTGAGGGCGTGGATTGGCAAAGCAAGGGCTGCATTTCTACAGTTGAAAAATATCTGGAACTCCAAAAAAAACTTTCAACCAAAACCAAAAATCAGGATTTTCAATACAAATGTCAAGACAGTTCTACTGTATGGAGCGGAAACTTGGAGAACTACGAAAGCCATCATCATACAGAAGATACAAGTATTTATGAACAGTTGTCTACGCAAAATACTTCGGATCAGCAACAACGTACTGTGGGAGAGAACAAACTAGATTCCAGTAGAGGAGGAAATCAGAAAGACGCAGCGGAAGTGGATAGGATACACATTGCGGAAAGCACCGAACTGCGTCACGAGACAAGCCCTCACATGGAACCCTGAAGGCAAAAGGAAGGCCAAGGAATACATTACGCCGAGAAATAGAGAAAGATATGAGAGGAAAGAACAAATATTGGACAGAACTGGAGAGGGAAGCCGAGGACAGAGTTGGCTGGAGAAAACTGGTGGGCGGCCTATGTTCCATCGGGGGTAACAGGCGTAAGTAAGTAAGTAAGCTGCTGTATTGGATACTAACTTAACCGTTGAAAAGATTGAAAAATTGGTTTACAGCATTAAGTATTATGCCACAAGCAATCCAAGTGTTATAAAAGAGGTATTAAATACGGACGGTAGATCAGTTGATGAAGTAGTGAGATGGTTGGGACATGGTGTGACGATTGCTCAATCACCGACTACCTTGATAAGAGATCTTGCATGATGTGAGATTAGGGGCTGGGAGAAAGCTAGGACCAGCTTAACCAAAACATGGCACAAATCCATGAAGTCACTGACTGCTGCACTGAGCTATCTGGGCAGGTGTAGACTAAACTAACCTGATTGCGGTCTGAGAGACAATAATAACCGATGGTTAGAGACTCATTTGAATGACATGGCACCAAATCATTTGCAATGGTGCAGGTGCATCCACTTTGTCACTTTTCTCAGATTATATAATCATCTGGATTCCTCATCACCTTTCATCTTTCTCTTTTTAAATTTATTTCACTGGATTATCTCCATCTCCTACCATACCTTCAATGTGTAATCCTTTCGATTACCGATTGAATATACAGCTATAATCTCTGCTACTATTATGGAATTAGAAACTGACACAATTCCATCTCCACATTTGTCTCTGGTGCAGATGCAGTATGGCAACCTGAACTTATGTACTCTCATGTATGAAGTTCTACGTTGTAACTGACTGACTGACTGACTGACACAATTCCATCTCTCTGTGTGCTCGGCTCATGTGCTAACAGCTATCGGACAATGTACATAACAGTTCATGATGTACGTACAGAAAACAAATGTCTATGTTCTCGTTTACGGACTGACTGACTGACTGACTGGCTTATATTTTCACCTCGTTATCCAAAACAAGTACAGCAACTCGAGCACAAACACACACACATACACACGGATGTTTGTCCCAGACTCTACGTGGCTGATTATGATGACGTAACAGAAGCTCGGAATTCATCAAGTCAAGTCAAGTAGAGTAATAAGATGAGTATCATATTGTGAGTAAAATTCTCTATCATGAAAATAACTATGATACAGTCACACACACACACACAAATACGCACAGTATTACACTATTCTGGCTTTATTTGTCTCAGTGATATAAAACAATCATAGAAATGTTTGTATGTTTGTCGTTTTTTAGAAAAAAACTAACTAAATGACCTTGTATGTGCGTAGAGAGAGTGTGTGTGGGGGAGAGAGAGTGAGTGAGAAGGAGAAGCGAGACAAAATTAAACGAACAAATAAAACAACAGCCTTCCTCCTCATACTCCTCCTCCTTTCTATCACTGTGTGCTACTGCAACCACTCACACTACTACTGTAGTGAATGAGAACACAGGTGGGGCGACCGAATTGTATTTAACGAAAATCACAGAGTTACTCAGTAAAATCGGAAAACCATATCGTAAATCGTTGTTAATTTGCAAAATATCAGTTCATCATATCGAACTGGACTGTTCCTGTTGCAAAACATCAATCCATTGTCACTACTATTCATGCGTTTGATACAAATTCCATTGTGTTCCCCCCACTCTTCCTTTCTTGATCTTCCCCCATCTTCAGCTGCCAGAAATTACGTTGACACTCACGTCATATACTACTTATGAGTAGCTCACACCACACTACTACTATTAGCACTACTACAACTCACACTACTACTAACTATCATTATACATAAATAAATGTGGCTGATAATCGAAGCAAGATAACACACAAGTGGACTGACTGGTGAACTACTTACTAACCTTACTAATCAACACATAATGAAATGACCGTTTTTTTTTTCATTTTGTTGAGAAATAAGGAGGAGAAAAACACAGCACAAAACACAATACAACCAAGTGAAAATAATGCTTTTGATTACAGAATTACGTCATCGATGTTTACTGAAGGCATTGAATATATAAACAATGGATAGCAAGAAAAAAGTCTGTCTTGATAGTATATGTCAAAGATGAGAATTGTTGAGGACGTTAGAGATCTCGCAGCAGTCACTTGGAAAAAGTCTTAATTTTGTAATTTTATTGCTGAAATTTTGGATTTTTCTATGTTTTCGCGCCAAAAAAAGATGCTTAGTTGACCTTCAACCTGCATTTTCCACTCAGAAAATACTTGACTGTTATTGGTTGATGAATTATTGTAGTACTACGCTATTTTTGTGGCTCACATCAAGGGCGTTTCTATCATTGTATAAATAAGCTTGATATGTATGCTTAGTTAGACACCTAGTGTTTTTTGAGTGCTTGTAGAATACACTATTTCTATGCCTTATCAAATCCTCTTGATCCAGTTAGCCGGGCTAGGGACAAACGGAATAGAAGAGCCTATCGTATATGGTTCCTTTGGTTCCGTTTACCGAGGAAGGTGAACTCGTAATAAGCATTCAAGCATATCAATGAATGAATGAATGAAGTCAGTTAGTCAGCTACAACTTAGAACTTAGTACGGCATGTATGTAGATCATACGATCATATCATAGGTATTAACACAAAGAGAAAGATGTTATTGTGAATTCAAATCTCATAGTAGTTGAGATAGTAGGAGTATTGCCGGTAATCGAAAAGATTAAGGTTTGAAGATATGATTCGACAAGTATAGTCCAGTGAAATAAATTTAAAAAGAGACAAGAAGAGGGCCGGAGCTCATGAGGTTACGTGAAAAGACAAAAAATGGATGCACCTGCGCCATTGCATACGATTTTGAGTCATGTTATTCAAAGTATCCAACCATCGATTACTATTGTCCCGCAGACCCCAATCACGTAGTCAACGCATCCTAAAATAACTCAGTCCAGTTGTCAATAGCATCATGGAGTCGGATGAGATAGTGTCCAGACTCCTAAACTAAAACAGATGGACTTATTAGTGGGTCGCTTCACGAGCGTTTAATCAATCAGTCAGTCAGTCAGTTGCAACATAGAACTTCGTGCGTAAGTACATCAGTTCATGTCGCCATACCACATCAGCACACAGATATAATTGTCAATTCAAATCCAATAGTAGAAGAGGTAGTAAAGGTATTAGAAGTAATCGGAGAGGTTAGGATTAGAAGATATTATTCAAGAAGTACGATTCAATGAGATAAGTTTAGAAAGTAAAAACTAGAGGTATTGAAGAATCCAGAAGATTAGGATTTGAGAGAACACAAAGAATAAATGCACCAGAGCCATTGCAAATGGTTTTGAGAGATGTCATTCAGGGTATCTAACCATCGATTATTATCATCTCGCCGACCCCAAACAGGTAGTCGACAATTACCGACATGGCTAAGTTCACTTGTCAATGACTTCATGAATTTGTGCCATGTTTTGGATTGGCCGCCACTAACTTTCTTCTAACCTATTCCTACACTACAAAACACAGCTCGTCGAGGCAGTCGGTGGTTAGGCATACGCAACACATGTCCCAACCACCTCAACTGATGAAGTTTCACCACTTCATCGATTGATCTGCCATTCTTACCTAGCACCCGATTCCTAATAACAGCGTTGCTCACTCGGATGTCCCACGATATACGAGCAATGATTCGAAGACACCTATGATCAAAAACAAGTAACCTACGAATATCTTCTACTCTCACTGGCCATGTTTCACAGCCATAAAGTAAGACGGAGCGAACTACTGCGCAGTACACTCGTCCTTTAGTCAGCAAACGGGTATCTCGCCTACGCCATAAGTGACGCAGGTTGGCAAAAGCTAATCGAGCCTTCTCTATCCGTGCCGAAATTTCGTCAGTCACCAGGCCATCGGCACTGATGAGACTCCCAAGATAAGTGAAGCGGTCTACACGTTCGACCACTTCACTCCCTATCACTAGTTCAGGTGCCGATGAAACCCAATCTTGAAGCAACATTTTGCATTTCTAGGGTGAGAACCGCATCCCGAACATGCTTGGATTGTTGCTTAGGGTAGTCAGAAGACTCTGCATTTTGTCAGCGTCTTCACCAAGTAGGACTATGTCATCGGTATATTCTAAGTCGATAAGCGAGCCTCCTGGTAAAAGGTCTACTCCTGAAAATTCAGACGAGGATAAGGTTATATCTGGGAGCATTTCTATGATAAAATTAAACAAGAATGGAGAGAGTGGACAGCCCTGGAAGACACTACCCGAAGTAAAGAATTCCGATGACAGTTCGCCATATGCTCTAACCCGACCAGTGGTGTTCGAGTACAGAGCTTGTATAAGGTTAATGTACTTCTTTGGTACACTTTTCAATGACAGACACTGCTACAGAACCTCACGATCAACAGAGTCAAATGCCGCCTTAAGGTCCAGAAAGACAACTATTGTCGGACGCCTAAATGTGTGTCTGTGTTCCAGGACCTGTCGTAGTGTGAAAATGTGGTCTATACGTGGTGATCGGGATTACCTATCGTGATGGGCCAACCGAGCTATATTGGCTGGAACATATGTTCCTATAGGTCCTACCATGCCAAGCAGGTCGACTAGAGAACGATGAGACTAAAAGCAGCTACCCAAGGTCTGAGGGCGAAGTCGGACTGCTGACTATAGAGGATTATGACAGCAATAAGATATTTTCGTCGGACAACCAGCATCTACAGCGATGCTACCTCCTCACGACGGAAAGAATGGATCAGAAAAAGTCGGCCATAAAAATGTCACACCTCACCTTACCTCAAGGATTTGCATCTCCGGTGGTATGGTCATTTGGAGATCAGAGGCTAACACCATAATATCTTCTCATAAAAAGGCTGTACGTGACCGACCCTAAACAACTATACCTTAAGCCTAACCAACGTTATTCAAATATCCTACTCAGGTTCCTCAAGAAACATCCAGGGTGTGGGCAGTCACGAAGTGACATCCACCCTGACCACCATATCAGCCAGTGACCAACAACAATTCATACACCATTTCTTACACCACAATCCCGGAGCCCATGTGCGCATTTCGTGTGGCACCAAACTAAACCCAACGCGGTTTGAGCTCTAGCCAGACAAGTAATCTGATGAACAACACATCTGTTGATGGCAGCTACACATACGTGGCCATGTACAAGCATTTCAAGGATACATTTGTGTATGAGAGAGAAAGTGTGTGTGTGAACTCTCCTCACTTCCGAGCTCAGTACCAAAACATTTTCCAACCGATCGTGTTAATTTTCATGGATGAAGAGTAGCGACACAGGATAGACAACATCATCATCAACAACACACACACACACATAGGAATCATGAATAATAATAATATACAACAACTCACTTTTCCATTAACAATGGTGAATCACTCGTACTAGTCAGAGCAGCTACAATAGCAGCAATAACACGACGACCATTTGGACTAGTATTATCCAATTCATTGTAATTTAATAAATCTTGTCTATTATGAATAGGATTACGAGGATGATGAAGATGATTGTTATTATGAGTAGTATTATTAGTAGTAGTAGTCAAAGAATATGCTTGATTTTGTGCAATTTTATGTAATGTTGGATAAAACGATGATGACAATGATGACGACGACGACGTAGAGATTGCAGCATTATGTGCAATCATGATATCGACCAATTCTTGATCCATTTCACCTTCATCATCGTCATCCGCAGAAGCAGCACCAGCATGATTGTCGCCACGATGATGATGATGATGTGTAACAGGGAAATTCATAATTGATTGTTTCTCTTTCGATGGTGTCATTGTTGGCAATAATGAAAGACTATACGGACTGAGTGTATTAGGATTATTATTGTTCATATAATTCAAATTGTTAGGAATTAATTCAGTAGAATTAGGACGACCAATTCGACTATGCACTGGAACTAAATATTATAGAGGAGAGAGAAGAGAGTAAAGTAAAGTAAAGTAAAGTTGAAAAAGTTAAACAGAGAATATATATTAGAAAAATTAAATTTCAGTCAGTCTACACCTAGTCTCGAGTAGTTACAACATAGAACTTTGTATGTACATTCAGGTTGCCAAACCATATTAGCACACAGAGATACACACAGCTACAGATAGCTAACAGCATCACTCAGTCTCATCTGTCAGTGACTACATGAATTTGTGACATGTTTTGGTTTGGCCGCTCCTAACTTTCTTTCAACCTAATTCCTATATCGCAAAACATTGCTTGACGAGGCAGTCGGTGGTTAGGCATACACAACAAATGTCTCAACCACTTCAACTGATGAAGTTTCATTACTTCATCAATTGATCTGCCATCCTTACCTAGTACTCGTTTCCTAATGTCCTACGATACACGTGCAATGCTTCTAAGACACCTGTGATCGAAAACAAGCAATCTATGAATGTCCTTTACTCTCACCGGCCATGTGTCATAGCCATAAAGTAGGACGGAGCGAACTATTGAGCAGTACACTCGACCTTTGGTTAGCTAAAGGATATCTCGCCCTACACCATAAGTGACGCAGGTTGACAAAAGCCAATCGAGCCTTCTGTATCCGTGCTGAGATTTCGTCAGTCACACTAGGCGATCAGCACTGGTGACACACTCCTGCGATAAGAGAAGCGGTCTTCACGTTCGACTACTTCACTCCCTATCACTAGTTCAGATGGCAACACAAGCCAATCCTAAAACAACATTTTGAACTTCAAGGGGAGAAGCCGCCATTAAAAACCTGAAAGCGCTGGACGGTTGTTTCGACTTTGTATGGAACTCATCAGTGGCAGTGCGCATTTATAACCTCTAGAACGAGTCGAACCTAAGACCCTACGTCCTGGGACGCGAACGCTTAAACTCTAGACTACTGAACCAACCGGTATCCAACAGTGTTCATGTCTAACTACGTTAATAATAAGTACGCTAGAGACAAAAAAATAAACCTTTAAATTAAATTTCTGCAGAAAATAAGCTGAATACATGTAAAAAACAAACTGTGCAATGTATACAAACACACACACACACAGACATATAGACACTCAAGTCAAAAACAGCTACGGTTTAAAAAGCAAACTGATTGACAAGGTCAAAAGACGTGTGAATAGTAGATTAATAATTAATAATTACCTTGTACAATAATGGCTCTACAACAAGCTGTGTAGTAGTAGACTCAACATGTAAGTGAGTGAGTACACACTACAATTCACATAACTAATTTAATTAATTAATTAATGCTTTTACACACTAACTACGACGAATTTAAAGTTAATGCGTGGGCGAACTACTGAAAACAAAACACGAGTCAATTGTGTACTAGTTCATTTCATCATACTATGGTGGTGTAACAAGGCCACACACACACACACTATCATGTATAATTTAAAGTTGGAGCGTAGGCGAAATATTCGTTTAATAAAACAAAGCACGAGTCATTTGAGAGTACCAGTTCATTCCATCTAATTATATGGTTTTGTGAAACGTGGCCATTAAAAATAGACGGGGGGGGGGGTAAGAAGGATTTGATTTTGACCAATTTGATATCTCGTGTGCTGTTACGGGTATGAGGGCGGTTGTCACTTCCCGACTGCCTACACCGTGGAAGGTTGTTTCTTGAGAGACCTGAAAAGGAAGGTAGATTACTGCTGGTTTTAGAGACCTGGGTGCGCGACCGCTGAGACCAAGGGACAACTGCTTGAAGCCGGTCACGCACAGCCTTTTGATGAAAGGTTTTTTAGTATTAGCTCTGCACTTAAAAGTCCTTAGTGGGCACCCATACCGACGGAGATGGAAATCCGTGAGGTAGGGTGAGGTGTGACATTTTTAAGGTCAACCTTTTCTAACACCTTCCTTCCTTGTGACAAGGCAGCATCACTGCAGATCCTCTCTGTCCAGGGGAAACACCCAATTGTTGTCACACCTCTCTACAGTCAGCAGTACGACTTCGTCCTGAGACCTTGAGTTGCTGCTTTCAGTCTCATCGTTCTCCAATTGACCTGCCAGGCATCGCATAACCTTCAGGAACATATGTTCCAGCCAATACACCTCGGTTGGGTGATCACGATAGGCAAGCACGACCACCAACCACATCAAGGTAGCAAGCAAACTACAGTCGGGAGCAGTCAGAAATAACACACACACACATACATACATACATAGACAGACAAAAATTATTGACCAATCATGATTTTCATTTGAATATAAAATACAATCACAACTTACCGAAAGGTGATTTATGATGTACCATAAATGTACTTGTTGTCGAATCTACCAATGAGGATGATGTTGATGACGATATGATTGACATTGTTGATAAATGTGAATCGTCAAGATTACATAATCCTGTTGTTGCTACTGTTGCTGCTGCTACTGATGTCCCTGTTGTCGTCGTCGCTGACGTCGTGAAGGTATTGATGATGTTTGAATTCGACAAAGGATAAGACAATAGATTTTCATCTAATAAACCATCGATTGTAGGTGTTCTAGCTTCAGGACGTTTTTTTGCCGGTTGACGAGGTGTTGACTTACCACTCGATGAATAATTGGAATGATTCATCAAGATTGATGTTGTATGATTCGTGTTATTAGCAGCAATAGTAGCAGTAGTAGTCGTACTACTACTACTACTGATAATAGTAGTAGGTATTGTTGTCGGTGTTGTTGTATGTATATGTAACCTACTATTTATTGGATCCGCATTATTGACTATTAATCCAAGATATGGTTGTGAATAAAGAAATGTACCATTTTTCATTGAATGATTATTCCCTTCCTCCTCCTCGTTGTCGTCGTCGCCGCCGCTATCATCACCATCACCATCATAGTCTACTTCTCCTTCTTCTTCTTCTTCTTCTTCATCGTCTGCCTCCACTTTCTCCACTCCTCGGACTTTCTGATCTGAATCGAAACGATGCTGGTGCTGCTGATGATGATGACCACGAGGACGATGTCGATGAGCCATCGAGTGACCTTGACCATTGGTAATCGATTGTGATAGGAGAGAATTCGACGAAGTAGCAGTAATAGTATTAGTATTATTATTCACGACATTAGTGCATGGATTCGATCTAGTCAAAGTAGACGTTGTTGGCTGATCATGCGTAGAAAATGTATAAAATGCACTCAAACTACCATGATGATGATTATGATGATGATGTGAATTAGTCAAACTGATTGGATTGTTTAATACTAAAGAAGAATGATTCATTCCATTAGTGAATAATACAGTAGAATCAGATGGTCGACGAATTTGTGAATGACTATTACTACTAGTACTACCATTACTACTACTACCACTACTACTATTGCTACTAATACTACCAGCATTATGACTACAATGATTATGTATAGTACTGAATGATGGTAGTTCAGAGATTAAAAGTGGTGGACTCGATGCAATTTGATGATAATTATATACATATTTCATTGGAGATGATGGTAAAGAATTAGGTGATATTGGTCTTGGACGTTTTAAATGATAACGTTCCGATTTGCACGATGACAAACCGTTTATTATAGTGGTATCTTTTGAATAAATAATTGATTCACTGAAACTATTCACTGGAATCGGATGAAGTAGATTGTTGGAACAAACTATCGTTGATGTCATTGGTGTTGCGATTGTTGTTGATGTTGTTGTTGTATGCTGTTGAATAGGGGTGGTAATCATAGGAAGAAGGTATGAATTCGACTAAGATTATATATATATACATATATACATGACGTAAAAAGGGGAAAAACTATTGTTCAGGGCTGTGCGCTTTTTCTATACGAGCACTCGAGAAACTTAGAAGCACTGAAAGACGGCTGTTTCATCTCAGAACGGGACTCTTCAACAGTGTGCATCTACGATCCCCCTGCAGCGCCGAGATCGGACATAGGAATTTCGGTCTTACACGCCAATGATCAACCTATGGAGCACTAAGCCGACTAGCATTCAACAGTGTTAACGTCTAACTTTGATCAATCTAAGGTTTTGTACAACCTCACCGATTATCTTCGATAATTACTACCTACACCTAACAGGGTTAAACTTCATTGGTCTTAAAAGGAATATTTTCGAATAGGATTTGCATAAATCTTAACAAGTAAATGGTTTCATTATTTATTGGAGTCAGTTTTCACAAATGCCTTGGTAAGGTCGAGAGAGTGATAGAATTCCGCTCTTCCTCTCAAAGTGCTCTCATATGGCCATGCGTTTATATTCAGTATCAGAACAGTTCTGCACGCTGGCTTCCCTTAGCGGGATATTGACAAAGACTTAAGTCGGCTAAATGGGTATGGAAGATTCAGTTAAAAGCTCATTTCAAACTTTGAGCTCGATGATTCTGCGACGGAATGAACAGCATACAAACCTAATGTTGGTTATCGTCTACCAAGAGACATCATACTCTGACGTAGTTTTTTATTGTCATGTGGATAAGACCTCTAGATTAAATTCTCGAAAAGTAACCCCCCTAAGAAAACCATCTGATCGGGTTTGGCAACCGGGACAACCAGTAACACAACAAACCAGATTCCAGCGGAAGAAAGTACTGGAGGTGAATAGGAGACATACATTGTGAAAATCACCAAACTGTACTACAACGCCCAGCCTAACTAGGAATCATCAAGGTCAAAGAAAAACACGAAGACCAAAGAATACATTACACCGAGAATTGATAATAAAACATGAAACGAATGAACACCAATTCAGTCAGTTGCAATGTAGAACTTCGTACGTATGTACATCAGTTCATGTTGCCATACCAAATTAGCACAAAGATGCAAATGTCAAATCAAATCCCATAGTGATAAAGATAGTAGAGGTATTAATGGTAATGAAGAAGAATAGAGTTTGAAGATAATATTCAAGAAGTATAATTCAGTGAAATAAGGTTAGAAAGATAGAGGTAGAGGTGCTGACGATTCCAAAAGATTAGGATTTGAGAGAGCTCAACGAATGGATGCACCTGCGCCATTGTAAACGATTCTGAACCATGTCGTTCAAGGTCTCTAACCATTGGTGACATTCGTCTCGCGGACCCCAACAAGGTAGCCTTCATCTACCAACATGACTCAGTCCACTTGTCGGTGACTTCATGGATTTATGCCATGTTTTGGTCTGGCCGCCCCTAGTTTTCTTCCAACCTATTCCTACACCACAAAACATAGCTCGTCGAGGCAGTCGGTGGTTAGCCGTACGTAATACATGGCTAACAACCGACTGCCATTAGAGAGAACTGCAAAAAAAGACGGTTTAGGACAGAATAGGCTGAAGAATGCTGGTCGGCGGCAGTCGACAGACGTCAGTAAGTAAGTAAGTAAGTAGGTAGAAAATCCAAACGATACACATATTTATGATAAAAAGAATACTTTGTTTATTGAACAATCAACAAACAGATAGAATTATGTATATCGTCTAATTATTATTGTCGTTCAATATTTCATAACAAGCAAACAAACAGATAAATTCCAGACAAGAACCTTGAACTTGTTTGTTTTAATGTGTGTAACCACACACGCACACACCAATGAGAAAACAAACAACTAAAACGAGTACCACAGTCAAGTCAATAAGTTGAATTAACCATCATCCTTCTCCTTGCTTCTCCTTCTTCTTCAACTTGCTTTCACTAACACTGTGGTGTGAGCTACTTATAAGTAGTATATGACGTGAGTGTCAACGTAATGTCTAGCAGCAGAAGATGGGGGAAGATCAACAAGAAAGGAAGAGTTAGAACACAATGGAATTTGTGTATGAAACGCATGAGAATAGTGACAATGGATTGATGATGTTTTGCAACAGGAACAATCCAGTTCGATATGATGATGAACTGATGATATTTTGCAAATTAACAACGATTTACGATATGGTTTTCCGATGATTTTACTGAGTAACTAACTCTGTAATTTGCGGTTGTCCTCACCTGTGTTCTTCTTCACTATAACACAACCAGTTGTTACACAGATTCACAAGAAATAAATCGTGTTGAGTATTCCACGCACGCACACACACACACACTGATCATGCATAGGCAAACAAATAAACAGACAGACAGATAGATAGACAGACACTTACAAATGAATTGGAACGATTCAAATGCATTGACGATCCGGTTGTCGTTGAAGCGGTTGATGCTGGTGTGGTGATTGGTGTGCTTGTCGTTGCTGTTGTTGCTGATGACGTCGTCATTGTTGTACTGTCACCTCGATGTAAAGCATCTTTAATCACTGGAACTAGATCGATTAAATCACGATCGGATGCACTTAATGTAAGCTTCGATATTGATTCACTGGCAGGTGTTAAATTTTCTAAAGATAATAATAATAATAATACAAGTTTTTAAATAAGAAACGTGATAAATTCGTCACTTAGTATGCTTGAGACTATTACGAGTTGTTTACCTTAGTCGATAAACGCGAACGAGACAATTTTACCAGCGGCGTCCAGGTAGGCTGGCTACCTTGAATACCCAAAGTCGAAATAAAAGGCTTTGTAAGCGTAGAAAGTATATTCTACAAACCAACCCAGCAATCACACAATACAATCAAGCACACACAACTCTCGTTTATTTATATAACGTAGAAATGTCCTTGAGACAGTTAAGAAAGTAGCGCACTAAAATACACAGCAGCAGCCAATCACAGCTATGGATTTTGCTGGTGGGAATTGAAATCTCAAGGTCAACTGACCAGCCCATGCTGGCTGTAAACGTGAAAACCAAAATAAGGCATTTATCAAGCGAATTTTGGGGATCTAACATCCCCAACAAAACGGAAAGAAACATAGTTCTCGTCAATTATTCGGTTAGAATGTGGTGAGAAATAAGGAAAAGGAATGTGCATTCAGTCAGTCAAATACAATGTAACAATTCGTACGTGTACTTACGTACATCAGTTCAAGTTGACATACCACAACAGCGTACAGAGAAAGATGGAATTGTGTTAATTCAAATCTCATAATAGTTGAGATAGTAAAAGTATTAGCAGTAATCGGAGAGATTAAGGTATGATCCGAGAAGTATAATTCAGTCAAATAAATTTAAAAAGAGATAAGAAGAGGTCCTGAGCTCATTAGGTGATCAGAGAAGACAAAGAATAGATGAACCTGCACCATTGCAAACGATTTTGAGCCATGTCATTCAGGATCTCTAACTGTTGTAACACTACTACGTATAGCTATTCAGTCCTAGCGGCGTCCAATACGACCCAAAATGCTATTTTCAAATCTCCTAGATATCAGAACGCAACACCATGGGATGGAGTTGTTTATTGGGTCGAATACAGAAGAGAGGTAGGCAGGAGAAACGGAATTGGAATCCGAATCATGAAGGCTTACAGATAGTGCGTATTTGTACATTAAGGTCGAATAGGAAAGAGCATCAAAGTGTGTGAGATCGACGGTTTAGGACGGCCAATAGGAAAGAACATTTGAGATGACATTGACAGTCCGGAAGACCAATCAGAGACAACATTGAAGTATTTGACTTTGACAGTTAAAACGACCATAATTTCGACCAATAGGATTATACTTCCAAAAATAATACTCTAAGAATATTTGGTAAATATCCTAACACTAACCATCAATTACTTTCATCTCGCGGACCCCAACCAGGTAGCCTACATCTACCAACATGACTCAGTCTAGGTGTCAGTGACTTCATGGATTTGTGCCATATTTTAAATTAGCCGTCTGTAGCTTTCCTCCAGCCTACCTCTACACTGGACATCACCGCTCACCAAGAAAGTCAGTAGTCAGCATTACTCCATGTGGTGAAGATTTAACAAACGACAATGAGTAAATACATTTACACCATTGTCCTAAGGGACAAAGGCGAAGAGGAAAATTCAAAGAACCCACATTACATCGAGAATCGGAAACAGACAACAAAAGAATGAATGACAATCGGATAGAACTGGAAAGGAAGATTTAAGACAGAGTATATTGGAGAATGCTGATCGGCAGCCTACGCTGCTCCACGAAAGGTAACAGGCGTAAGTAACCAAACATCTACACCATTTCAATGAATTTTCGATACTGAAGTTATTTTTTCGCCCACAAAAATGAATGTGAATCATCTAACCTTTCGAGACATGATCATCATGCCGATTCCAACCAGGTAGGTATTGCAGGCTACGCCAGTATTACCACGGTACAAACCAGTAATCAATAACCTGACTCTGATTCCCAGTTGTGGGGACGCACTCATGAAGAGTCATACAGTAGGACGAAACACCTATATATATGATGCTTAAAGGTTTGAAATGGTTGCTTAACCTAGATCGATTAGTCATATTGATAAAATAAATTGATAGTTCCTACTTAGTTTCAGTGACTACATGGCAAAAATCCATGAAGTCACTGACAAGTGGAATGAGCCATGTTGGTAGGTGCCGACTACCTAGTTGGGGTCCACGAGATGCTAGTAATCGATGGTCAAAGACATTGAATGACATGGCTCAAAACCGTTTGCAATGGCGCAGGTGCATTCATCCTTTGTGTTCTCTCAAATCCTAACCTTCTGAATTCCTCATCACCTTTATCTTTTTCTTTTTAAGTTTATTTCACTAGATTCTACTTCTTGAATAAATATCCTCGAACT